AACATAAATTATGTATTAATATAAGTGAGTTTACAATATATCTGTAATAAATTTTAAATATCACAATCTATTTTTCATTATTAAAACAAAGCAAACGCATGGAGTCATTTTTTATATTTTAAAATGCTTGCCTATAGATTTAACTGACATTTCAAAAGTAAACTGAACAAAAGAACCGAGTGTGTGAGGTAGTTTAATATCATTCACTGTCCATTTGTGGGTCCTTCTTCCAGTGCTGAGAGTACTTTACTCGCCACTAAAAACATCATCCTCACTAGTCCCCGCCCATACGCCCGGCAGGTAAGTATTAATAAAAGGATTTTATTATGAAAGCCCAGCAATTATAGATAGACTCAAGCACCCTGGTCCAGGATCCCACCCCATCTGAATATGAGTCTAAACGCAAAGCACTTCTGATTCAATTTGTACAAGCGGCAGGGGTGTATGTGTTATTTTAACAGAGGAGACAGTGGAGGACCACTCAACTTCAAACAGGACAGGGTCTCTGTGTGTGTATGTGTGAGAGAGAGAGATTTAGGAAGCTTATCAAAGAGGTGAGCTCATCAGCAGGGCGCATCAGTCAGAACTTGGCTGGTTGCTAGGGTGATAGTGAGAGGGTATCTTCAGAGGTACCGCCCACACATGGCTCTGTCGCCAACAGAATCATGATCTACAGAAGTGGCCGCTTGACACATTTTCTGCATTGTGAAGCACATGTTCCTCGCCCCTCTATCAGGTAATCCTGTAATTATTTTATTGTCTGATTATTTGTTTATTTAACAGAAACCCCCACAACTAAGCGATACAAGGGCCTTGAAAACTGAGAAGAGGGCTGAAATTATTCAACTGGGCATATCAGAAGTCAAGCTAAAATGTAGGCTACTATATTGTGTCCAGTGGTGAGAGCAGAGCTGGATGTCATGTTCATTATATCATATCATTGATCAAAAATGACAGTAGAGACCTTCACATGATTAACATTAAAAACATTTATATTTCAAATAAACGCTGTTCACAAAATATTAAACAGGACAACTGTTTTCAACACTGATGTTAATAATAAGAAACGTTTTTTGAGCACCAAATCAGCAAAACATTTTTTAAAATTTTAATAATATTTCACAATATTACTGCTCTTACTGTATGTTTGATCAAATAATTGCAGCTTCAGTAAGCATAAGAGACTTTCAAAAACATAAAAAACTTACCAACCCTGAACTATACATGAACAGTATGTATGTATAGACCTAAATACAGTGGCCATAATAATTTGAAATTAATTCTTTTCAGTGCACTATATAACAAAATATCAAACCAAGTGGCATTTGCAAACATGTTTTTCTCTGAACTACAATAACTTCCGGACAGTAACTTCAAAGCCATCACCTTTGTTTTAGTGAATATATCTATATAAGATATATATGACTATATAAGTCATTTTAGTGTATATAACATGTATCACTCCATCACATTATCATTAGAAAGTGTCCAATTTTTTGTCCACTTCTTTTTCATTTTAGACAGTTTATATATTTTTAATGCAATAATGCAGTTAGCTTTAATAGTATGATATAATATAATAAAAAATGTTTAGGTGACATATCAAAATTTGGTTGTTTTGACAGTTTATCTATTGTTTTAAAATTCTTAAAACTTTTTTTGTAAAATGTTGTGCTTGAAAAGCACACCTGTCTTTCTTTAAAATTAATGCTGCTTATTCCTTAGTTTGATATTTTAGATGATGCAATGATATTCTTTTTTTTAATTTTCCAATTGTGGCTAAAGCGTCAATTTTAGCCTTCCACTATACAGCTCTTGAGCACAGACCATTAAGTTTGATTAAGAATATACTGAAACTGTGGCAGAGCCTGGGCAAATCTGACTGAAGCTTGTTTTCAAACTTTCCAATCTGCTATTCATCATGGGAGCATGCTGTCATCCGGATATTCATTCTGATAAGCTACTATAATTACTGGAATCAGAGATCTATGTTATCATTTGCTTTGTGCACAATGAAGAAATAAGAAAAGATGAAGAGAAAGAGTGACAGAGAGAGATGAGTGCGTATTTGAGGGCATTCAACCCCTCCTCTTCACTTGCCACGGTTTAATTCAGATTCTAACACCATAATGCAGTTTTACTCAGAGCTGAAGCCTGCAGATTGTTCTGATGGGTATTGTGAGTTTTGATGGCTTAAATGAGTAAAAAGTCAGTGTGAATGCAAATGTACTTTGTTAGTGTCACCATGAAAATGGCAGCATGCCTTTTTAATGCCTTATTTTTACAGCTCTGATTATAGGTTGGGTATTCAAACAAGTGAATGAGAAAACAATGAGCAGGCAATCAGGACTTCATAAAGCAGAGAGCAGCATGGGACAGATTAATGAGAGGGCGTCACACACATACGCACTCAAGCAGCCTTTAGAAATGACACTCATGCGTGTGACATATTAAAAGAGGGCTTGCACTTTGAGCAGAGATGTGAAAAGGATCAGAGGACCGTTAACGTGTAATTTAGAGCCCAATCTGACTGCTGTTTGCACAAAAGCAACAGAAATTCTGTCATCGTCAATATGGAGAGACGTTTCACGAGTCACGTCGACCCTACAGAGGAGGAAAGGCTTCGACGGACGTGGATGGCTCATACACACACATGTCACACACAGTAGCATTCAGATGAACAACAGTAACTGCTTTTAATTTGGGTGTTAAAAACAGTCTCAATGAGAAGAATGGCTTCAGGAGAGAAAAGCACTAGAGCTAATGGATGGGAGACATACGTGGCTTGTCTGTAGACTGAGTGTTAGATGACCCTATAAATCATAAAATCATTCAGCATGTAGGCCATTCATTCAGACACTTTTTTAACTATGGGTTCCCACAGTGTTTGTAAAATTACAAACAAAATAGTTTTTTATTTTCTTTTTTAGTATGAATATGTTCACCATATCATATTGTACACAATCAGAAAAAAAGGTACAAAGCTGTTACCCTAAAGCTAAAAATGACATCTTTGTACCTTTTTTTTTCTGGGCACTTTAAAAGTACATATTACTACAAAAAAAGTGTAATTGTTGGTACCTTTTGAAAGAGTATTGCCCCAGTGACAGTTCTGTACCTTTTTTATTTATCTTATTATTGTTTATCATATGACAGTCTTTATTGACATTTTAAATGTGGAATATTAAACCAAATCAAGGCAGGCAGGTAAGCTACTGGTAAATATGTGAAAAGACACAGAAGATATGTCTTGTGTGAAAGTATTGTGTCATTAAACGCCACACTTTCAGTGTGTAAATTTGTGAAAGTGGTTGGGTGAAATTATTGCTCTGCTTCACAGTGGATCTGCAGACAGAAGTGATGGTATACTGCCACCTTTCGGACAAAACAACTCAAAACATACAACGTCAGCCAAGTAAGAAGTGACATTGTTCTGAAAATCGTATCTACTGGTAGTAGTTTAAAGCAGCACTATGTAACTTTTGGCGCTCTAGCGGTTTATAAACAGAACTGCACACATCCCGCGGAAGAACATTCCAACCAAAGCTACTTCTCTTACGTTTATGTCTAAGGCGATTCACGCAGGTATGTGTTACTCCGCAGCGGTGACGAACCGACCAGGCTACAATAGTCCAAATATAAGTACTTATTATAAGTGTACCGTAGTGATTTGGAATAAGACAAAAACGCGGTTTGGAAGATGAATTCATGATGTACTCGCTCATTATATACATTTTGCAAATTTTGAACACAGAAAAAGTTACATAGTGCTGCTTTAAAGTCGGCATGAAAAGGAAGTTGCGGTTGTCTTTTCTTCTCTACTGTGACGTATATCCGAGTGAAACGTCATCTGAAATGAGAGGGCGGGACTTGATTTCGTCCTTCGGGAATTGATTGGATCGTTGGAATATGGGTGGAGGAACATAAGCCAATGCGGACACTCATATGTTCTGATTCAAGTTCATCTTTAATTATAATTAAAACATTAAAACAGAGAGCAGAGCAGATATAATGATTGAGATTCTTCAAACAATATATAGGATCCAGATGATGGGAATTTATGTAGCTTTCTGTTGGGTACCAGCGCATGTGGGAGTAAAAGGAAATGAGTTAGCAGACGAATATGCAAAGGAAGCAACTCAGAAAGTAGACATAGATATGCAGATAAAGTATGGTAAGAGTGAAATGAAGTGTTTAATCAAGCAACATGTGAAGAATAGATGGCAGAAATACTGAGCGCGTCCTCCATCAGGTTAAGTCATATTCATGAAAAAATTTTTTTGCTAAGAGTAATGTTGTCGTAATATCCTAATATCTTTTCAATGTTTAGGGGTAACGTACTCCCTCATGACTGGTGTCAGCGCTGTAAAGTGAAGCATCAGCTTCAGCTTTTCCCCCTGTCTTTTATCCCAGCCTTTACCCCTTACGTCACTAGCTCCGCCCTTGCGCCATAGCTCGTGACCGGAAGAGTAGAGGAGTCGTTTTGAGGGGGAGGGGAGGTTAATGTTTTTGATTAAAGATTATGAGGGCACATGAATAAAAAAATAATAAAGTGCACCGATAAATTATTTATAATAAACACTACAGTATTCCATTAAAAAATAAGAATGCTTAATTTTGATTTCATGGGGACTTTAATCTGATACAACATGTAGAATATTTTCCCTGTTATTTAGTTTTTTTAATAAATTTAGTTTTTTGAATAATAAATATATGAAATAATGTTAGAGGGGGATCAAATGCCCATCTACATCTAAATAAAATATCTCTAATAACATATTTTCATTTACATAGACTTAAACAAAAATATAAAAAATAGGACTGTCATTTTATTTTATAGAAAAATCTAAAAATTCTATTTTAGCATAGGCCTATCTAATTTAATAATCTTCATATACATCATCATTAATTCGAAAAATGTGTCACCCACTTGACACATTTTGCCACTATTTTTATGGCAGTGTGGAAAGCACGCTCCTTCCGCTGCATTAATTGTTGGGTTATGGTCACATGAGAGGAAACTCACTGGAAAAATTTACTAGTCCACGCATCCTGTCAAAACATCTACAATGTAATCCCATCAGAATGAACAGGTTGGGTTTTATGATTCATATAATACAGAATTCATGACTACAACTTCATATGCATGGACTCGAATACTTATACGAATGTTTTTATGCATTATTTATTAATTTGTTTGACGATCGTGCGGTCACGTTGAAGCTGTTGAGGGTGTTCTTCTCTAATCTTTGCATTTATATTTTAAACTTTTAAAATACAGTTTCTTGAATCCCATAGTTTGACATGTACAGTATGTGTTTGTTTATTTTGATATGAGCAAGGGTGCGATGGTTTTGCTCGATTGTTAAACTATCATAGACCATGCATGTTATTAGATATTTAGCGCATGCACTAAATTACACCGAAATAGAGGAAAACCTAAGACTTATTTGTTAAAAACGTGGCAAGGCCACCTATTGTCTATAATTACACTGAAGCTGACATGTTTTAAGTGGCCAAGTATAGCAGGATGAGCAGGTTTGGTCTGTACAGAAGTAAGTCTCTGTAGGACAAATGCGATGTTGCCAGATCTCTTTAAATAAATCACTCTATTTTCTTGAGATGGTCCTCACTGCAGATCAGATCCAACTCCTCCCACCTTACATATTCCTAAACCTACCCGTCTCCACCCCCTGATTCCAAAACCCACCCATCTCCACCCCTAAACCTACCAATCTCTGTGGAAAAAATGTGGATCCAACCACGCCCCCTGGATCTTGTGTTCTGCAGTGAGGTACACGATTTAACTGAACGAGAGAGGGCGCTACGGCTCTGTGTGCTTGGCCGTTGGCGGAGCTGAGCGCTGTGTGATTGGCTGTTGAAGCGTCGGAGTGGGCTGAGCGGCTGTCTGTGATTGGCTGAGCGGAAGGACGGAGGGCGAGAGGCTGCGCTGATCAGCTGGTCTCTGCAGATATCCGACTCCTGCAAAACAATGTAGGTAGAAAAAGTGCTGAATGTCCCAATCGCCGGGAGGAGAAACACCGGATCACACACACCGTCGCGGAACGACCGGATCCAGCACGGCTGCAAGATTTTTTCAGCAGCTCTTCCGCTCGATTCAGCGAGGATTCGCGCGAGACTGCAGTATAATACCTCCAGTCTCATCTGGGTGTGTTTACCTGTGCTGTTTCACGTTTCAGTGATGCGAAAGCGAAAAGGCAGCGCAGACCATGACAGCTCGTTCACGGGTAACGTTACACTACTGGACGGCAGCTCCGATCTAAAGCAGTGCCACAAAAAAACAGACGCTGCTTCTGATCCAGGAGGTTCGGGGACAGGGATGGGGAGACGCTACAGGAGGTGAGACTTGACAGCCGCTGTTGCACTTGTGGCACTGATGTTCTCTGGCTCTATACCTGTTTTTACCAGTATAAGTTTCTGGAAATCTTGCTCAAAACATATCTTTGGGTTTTCAACCTGTGCAGACCCAGTATTAAGCACGATCTAACCGTATAATAACTTTTATTAACAATTCTGCATTTGTTCAAAATCAGTTAATAGTTAAAAATGGCAGGTAACTGTTTTGTACATAAATCACCAGATGTATATCTTCTCCATTAATTCTTAAATAAAAACCCTGGCTCTGTGTTGTTTTTAAGTTATGCATTTTCAGCATCATCTGATGTATTTTCAACACACAGTCCTGTTTGATGCTTGTTAATATGATATCACATGCATTATTGTCATTCTTTTTATATTCAAGTGGCTTGAAACTCTTTTGAGGCATGAAGCCACATAGATTATTCTCTATGATTGAATCACAGTCCCACGTGACTCTCTTGAGACTCTAAATAGTATTTAGGCTGTCCCAAACTAGATCAGCAACTTCTAGTAGCTCTTTTGCTTCAGTTAGAGTATTTCTGTCTCCGTCAAGTGGAAAAGTCTAGAAAGTCGTATTTAGAGCCCATCAGAGGTCCCTTACATGCAAAGAGAGTTATTTTTCTAATGCATGGTTATATGCTAAAGTGGAAGCAAGGTGATATCTTTTGTAGATTTCCTCAAAGCAGAGCTGAGTCATACAGTTCATGTTTTTACTGCTATATTTAAAATAATGTAAGATTGCATCACTGTAGGAGGATGCATGGTGGCTGTTGTCTAGGGCTATAGGCATATCCCTGCACATGATTCAGATTTCAGGAACAATATTAGGTCTTAAATGCAAAGGTTCTAGACATTTCTCCGGTTTGTTAGGTCTTGCCAAGGCTGAGTTTAAACAGGTGTATGTTTAGTGATGTCATTCTTCTCAGCCAGGACTTGCTCTGCAGATCAAAGTGGGAGGAAACTGGACATTCTGGTCCAACAATATGGTGGTAAAACATTGTACACTCAGCAAAGAAACATTATGTACTGCCAGAACATGTTGCCAATTGGGATCCTGGAGGATTTCCCACAGATCAGTGCTTCTCAGCTGGTGGGGGTTGCAACCCCAAAATGCTTTTAAGATAACAGGATTGTATTAGGTTTCATGGTTGCCATGTCATATGGAAATAGTAACTGGTTTTGAGTGAATTGCCTGTGACTTTTGACCCTGGAGGTCAGTTAGAGACCCGTGTCTCATGTTTGCTTAATATACACTATGATTAAAAAAAGTTTAAAGCAGTAATAATAAAGAATAAAAAAGTATTGCTTTTATTCAGCAAGGGCACATTAAATTGATCAAAGTGGCAGTAAAGACATTTATAATGTTACAAAAGATTCCTGTTTCAAATAAAACTTAACATTGATAATAAGAAATGTTTCTTGAGCACCAAATCATCATATTAGAAATGATTTCTGAAGGATCATGTGACACTGAAGACTGGATTAATTGCCGCCTAATTCAGCTTTTGTCAAATGAATCAATTACATTTGAAAATATAGTCAAATAGAAAACAATTGTTTTAAATAGTAATAATATTTCACAATATTTTAGTGTATTTATGATCAGATAAATGCAACCTTGGTAAGCATATGAGACTTCTTTTTAATAAGTGGGCCTGAGCTGTTATATGCTCTGATCTGATTTATATTGGGATTTAGCTGAATGTGGAAACACTTACAGCTCTTAACTACAATATTGTTACAACATATTTCAGGTAGTAGCAACTGAGCTGATGTTATGAAAGATTCCAATATAACAAACCTGGAAAATGCCCTGTTATAAAAGACGTTGTTTGCCAAATTAGCATGAAACACTAGCAGGAAGTGGTCCTGTAAAGTTCTACCATCACATCTCATTTAAACTGAAATGCTACTCTACTATTGCACTGTATCTGATGGCGCAGTAATCGGACTCTCCTCCGGTGCTGTATGGGTCTGGGGTATTGGGTGCTGGAGCCGGTCATGTGTCCGACACAGGAGCTGCCGCTGGTTAGTCTGGTTGCAGTGACCTTTGTGTGGCAGGCCGGGTTCAAGGTTAAAAGAGTCAGTTTAGCTTTAATTCACAGAATCTGTGAAATTCAATTAGCTGAAATCCCCTGTAAAATGTTGTATATCATACGTTAAAGACAACATTAAATCGCTTGAAGAGCACAGTGTTCTGTCCTTGTTGATGCATTTGTTTATGGAAAGAGGAAGTTTGGTTGCCATTATTTTTTCCAGGAAGACAATGATGGCATATATAAATACATGTATCTGCTCTCTTTTTACTATCAACAGATGACTTAACGTTAGCACGAAATGAAATCTCTTTTCTAAATTCATATTATTGATTTTATTGCGAATGATTCATCCAAGCATTTAATTTTTTTCATTTTTTGACCTCATAAGTTAATTAAAATGTCGTAACTTGATCTTCCAGTGAAACCAGACTTACCTCTCTTCTCTCTCTGTCCTAATCCGTTTCACCTGGATGTACGTGACAATATGGAAGAAAGGATCTGTTGCAATTTCTGTTTCATCAAGACTTTAAAATCTTAAAGACAAAAAAAGTCTAAAAGCCACAAAATGTCAGTTTTGATTTGATGGGGTCTTTTAAAATAGGTTGGTTGGTTGCATTCCCTTGTTCTTAAAGACGTCCATTTAAAAGAGGGGTGGACTAGCCTTCAGCCTAAATAACAAATCCCTGCTTCCCTCTAAACCATGTCAGTTATACACTGCACATTTCAACCTGAAATTCTGGTCTGTTCTTACATTCTGGGAACAGGAGCTCTAGATCAAACATAGGCCCAAGAGGCATCTAATCGTGACAATTTGGTGTCTTATTTTAGCTCTTCTTGGGAAAGTGTGTCAGGTTTGATAGGAATAAGAAGTCTTGACAAGGTGTCATCCTCTGAAATCTTTTTTTAGATTTCAGGAGGACTGAAAACATATCTTGACAATAACTTGTCTTGAGAAACAAATCAAGGGTGTGTTAATGTATTGAAGTTGCTGTGAGGTTACGTTGGTCAAGTAGTCATCTAATAGCCACTAGTTCAGTCAGTTTTTTCTTTTTATTGCTGTAGTTAGCATGGTAACAGCGTGCTGTGATTTCACTGTTACACAGTTTGCACCTTCTCAGAGAAGATTGCACAGCTATAAATGTTCACAAACAGTGCATACCTCGATTCTCTTCATTAGATGAATCTGAAACCAAACCTTTGCAAGCTTCCTTAAGGTCAACTAGTCATTGAGGTACCCACCTATTTGTTGATATTGAATATAATTTGTAGTATATATGTAGTTTTGCACTGCTCTAAACCGGGTTGGTGGTGATCCTTCCCGAGGCCGTTTGAAGGAGACTGATCTTTGGTCAAATAGAGCCATAACTAATTCTGGCATCTCTGTCAAAACTGCTCTTCTAAGCTCCGCTGAGCGGTCTGAGACACTCATTAGGACGGGTGAAAGAAGAGAAGAGTGAAAGGGAGGATGAAAGGAGTGAGGAAGGAAGTAGAGAGCCCGAGATATAGCACGTGTCTATCTCTTTTTCATCCTTAGGAGTGCAGTGTCTACAGTTTCACGTATCCTTTGCCTGTCTGTTTTGCCTTATCGGATCCCATTTGCGTTATTATTACATAGTTCGATATGAGGGTATTCAGTAAGAGGGGAATTACCACTGTAAAGCTAATTTCCTCTGTAAATATGTCACATAACCAAAGTTAAATGCATTATGAATGTCATTTCATTTTGTCTAATGGGGGAAGCTAACAGATAACTTACTGTATTATGTTACCAGAAGACACAGTTTTTTGCTGTGTTGAAAGCAGGAAGCATTAAAGTCCTCTTCCTACCCCAAGCTGTGTTACCAGACCTGGGTTTCTCAGCGTCACCTCAGTGTCTCTTAGAGAGTCCGGTCCGTCAGACCTGTCATAATCTATTACATGTAGCTGTAGCTGCAGGTTTTTGAAAGTGTTCCACTTTTCTCTACTTCTACTGCTTCTTCTTTATCATCTTCATTCTACACAGTTTAACCGTTGATTGTAAGCCTATCCTGGTCTCACATCTAGTCCTTTTTTTACATTTTTATGAAAATCTGACGTTTTCTGAAATAGCGACAGGTTTTTATTTTTTTGTGAGTTTGTTGGGGCACTTCGTATGTCTGCTTTACAATAAGTCATTAAGAAAAGCTATCTTTATGGGCACACTTGTCACCCTCACCTTGTAGGGGCATTGAATCCCAACGGAAAATGGATATGTATGTTTAACTGTAGGTCAGATGTCCAGATATCGGATATGTATCTGATTCACTGTAAAACCACATTTGGAAGTGGCTCAGAATGGATGCAAAAAAGCTGATGTTTGTGTTTGTGGACCTTTTCAATGTTAGTGTTTCTAGCTAATTATTTGTCAGTGTTTTAACTACTAATCTGTTAGTATTATGCAATATAATGTAAAAAGTATTTATGTTCTTAACTCCATCCAGACGTTTTTTTGGCAGCCAGGGCTTTAGCCGCTAATTGATCATGGTCATTGATAGAGCTAGTGTTTGTCAGTCGGTGCTCTACAGCTGTACCAGGATATTTGGGACATTGATCCGGGCAGCTGCAGCTAAGAGCTCTAAAAGCATATCCTATACCAATGTCTGCCACTTAGGAGCTGTTGTCTGGTACCCGCAGACATGAGGCAAGCCTTTGGCGTCGGACAGAAAGAGAAGGAAGAGACAAAAAAAGTTTTCCTGTGATGTTTTCAAGTGGAAGTGATCTAACTGCGACTTTCAAGACCAGAGTTTGAGGTTGGAGTAGGGGATATGCTGGTTTATTTGGGCTTAAAAGATACATTTGAATCTAAATCCCATGAGATCCGTCAATAACAATTCTTAGCAGCACTTAGCCTGAATTTCTTTCTTCTGTGGAATACAAAAGAAGATATATTAAAAAATGTCTCAGTATTTTTTGTCCAAACAGAGAAAATCACTGGGATCCAATAGTGTTCTATTGTAGAATGGGTATGAAATGTTGTTCAGGTTGTTTCTTGCATACTTCAGTGTTCTTGTGTAGTTCATTTAATCCTAAAGTAGGCTTATCATTGAGTACAGCAGGATCTTGCTGCCTGTCTGCTCTGGTAATAAACAGAATTATGCATCTGTTCTTTGCCAAATATGCTGACCTTAAAATTACCCAATAATTTATTAATGTAGAATCAGACGTGCATTTAGGTTCTCACTTTTCCTTCATGGTTAATGCCAGATATATACAATTACACTAAAATGGCTAAATAATAGTCAAACCACTGCTTAGTTTTATTGTTTGAGCATTGCTGATGTCACAGTAGGCTTCAGATTGACTTAAGAAATGCAGTGAGGGGGAATTCTCTTTTTATAAATTCTGAATTAATAGCTAATGGGTTATTAATAGGTTATTGGGTAACTACGATAGTCTTCTCAGAGTTTGATGTCTTCATAAAGACTGCTGCTGACTGCTGCCAATTTGTAGTTGCTGCCAAAAAGTTTTATGATCTCGTCTCTATTTTAAGATGTATGCACTTGACTTGGTGATTTCAGAGTGTGTTTCTGAGTGTTGTGGTGTATGAGTGTTTGGGTGTGTAGGAGTAGTGTGTTGGAGGTTATAATTTTTAGAGAGTTGCATCCTGTCAAATGCAGAGACTGACACACACACAAATGGAAGTAAATGACCAAGGAGGTGCACTAGAACGGAACAAAAACTGTCAAATTACAAAGTTAAACAGCAATCAGCACTGAAAAATGGATCAGTGCAGTGATTCATGATACATGTTATGCTTTAAGATGATTGTAAACTGAGTAAACCTTCCCATCTCTCCACGTACAGTACCATTCAGAAATTTGGGGTTAGTAAGATTGTTTTCCTTTTTCTGAAAGAATTGTGTTTTGCTCACAAAGGCTGCATTCATTAGAAATATTTTAACAATATATTTTTAGAATGTAATTTATTCATGATCTGGAAAAGTCTTCAGTGTCACATGATCCTTCAGAAATAATTTAATATGCTAAAAAGATACTAATTTGGTGTTCAAAATTTTGACAAATTTTTAAAGATTCTTTGATATGAATAGGAATTTCAGTAGAACAGCATTTATTTCAAAATAGAAATATCTTTAACATTCACAAAAGTCTTTACTGTCGCTATTAATAAATATATGCATCTATGCCCAATAAAAGTATTCGTTTCTTAAAAAATAAAAACTTGCTGACCTCAAACTTTTGAACCGTAGTGTACAAGCACATCTGTATGCTACAATATATTACTTGAGATGTGTGCAATCTGTTTGAGAACAGAAACGGCTTTTTGTTGTGACATTTCATTCAATATATGAACAAACTTTGTTATCCAATCTGTTAAATACGTTTCTGTTACTATTGTTTGGCCAAGATTTTTAGCCTGTTCTCTCTCATTCCTTCCCATCTTTTTGCTGGATGCACTAGTCAGAAACACTCTGTCCCAGTGCAGTCTGGACTCCTGATGCCCAGACAGCTGTAATAATGCCCATATGGCATTGGATCAGCATGACTTAACATATTAGTGTTACCCTGAAGGTATTGAAGCTCTGGATCGCATGCTCTGTGCATATACAGTGGGTACGGAAAGTATTCAGACCCCCTTAAATTTTTCACTCTTTGTTATATTGCAGCCATTTGCTAAAATCATTTAAGTTAATTTTTTTTCCTCATTAATGTACACACAGCACCCCATATTGACAGAAAAACAGAACTGCACAATCTTATAACCTAACCAGCCACATAAACAAATAAATGGCTTGTTGGACTGGATACAAAAGTATATATTCTCAACAACAAGTTTATGCATACACACACACAAATAGCACCTTGGCGGTATTTGTGTAAGCACTGTACAGTAATGAGTCTCAGTGCAGCCTGTGTGTGCTGTATTTAGCTCTGCTGTTGCACAATAGTCTAGCTCTCTCTCTTTATCACAATCACCTTGTACTCTCACTTACAAGCAGAAACTCTCACACGCACCACATGGACACACACACACACACACACACTCAGATCAAACCTTCTGTGACTCACTGCCAGGTAATCTCTGCAGGGAACTCAAGATCAGCCGCCTGCTGCATTAACCACCTGGAATAAGTATAGCGCAAGTTACAAGTGCAGTTAGAGATGTGGTTTATTGGGTATTTGCATGCTGACACATTGATATGTGGGTTTGAGTTCTCCATAGGCCTACTCTTTGTCCATCATCATCCTCCGTCTTCTTTCTACTACTCGTTTCCATAAACGCAGAAAACAATTGAATCTTTTATTTGGTTTGTTCCAATTTGTTTACATTATAAATGAAAATTCTTTAGTTCTTCATGTTTAGGTAGTTAAGTACAGTATTAGTTGATCCAAAGTAAGCAGGTGTGTTCTGAAGGAGGCAGAGGAAAGGTCGTAGGGATGTTAGATGCCATGGTGGAACTGATCCAGGGTCAGCCGGATCAAACCGGATGGCTCGCTTCCTGGATTATTGCTTTTACTCCTCTTTCACCCTGTCTGGGACATTCTCTGTCTTCTTTTATTTCTGTAATGCACAGTTGAATTTTCAGCATCCATTTCTCCAGTCTTCAGTGTCACATGATCCTTCAGAAATCACTGTAATATGCTTATTTGGTGCTCAGGAAACATTTATTACTATCAATGTTGAAAACAGTTGTGCTCCTTAGTATTTTTGTGGAAACCATGATACAATTTTACATAAATATAATGTGTATGAGAGAGCTTGCATGTGTATACCTATATGTGTGTGTGTGTGTGTGTGTGTTAGTATCTGAGTGTTTAAGTAATCCCCTGGTCATGAGTTGGGTAGGAAAAATTCCTTATGCAGTTTAAGGAAATGAAGCAAGCTTAATAAAGCAGCTTTTCACCACAAACCTCATAGAATCGGAAAGTCACACTTTAATTTGTATATTAGGCACACGCAAACACGTACAGTAGAGCTCAGGGCAGTAAGTCAGACAGGGTGAGTTTGTTCCTCTAAGTGATCTCTTGCTATCTCTCTCATTTTTATCATGACACTTTATACTCCCCGGCACAATTTAGAGGTCACTGCTGGCCGCAAAGATGCACACTGTCTGACCTCTGAGTGTGAGGGAGACCAAGAGAAGACAAGCCATGTTATGAGTACCATTAATTAACCATTCAGTTCAAAAGAGAAGAGCATGTCTGAAAACATTCCCAATAAACACTTTTGTTCACATCTTGTACTTACACATGACAAACCTTCTATGTGATTTTTATTAAAAAACATCATTTAATATTGACACAATATATGCTTCAACTGTCCAAAGTGTTTCAGCCAATTAACTTGAGAGAATGTTGTTCTTAATTAATCACTGCATGTGTTGTTGAATAGGACAAAATACTGCTTTATTTATTACTTTATTTACTATATGTGTGTTAAATGAATCTGTGTTTTATGTAACCAGTTCTTCTCTCTGTCTGCAGGGGTGGTCTGATATGGAGGCTAAGGAGGATACTGATCTGGGTGCTGGGAATCTACATCGCCATCCCTGTTATCATCAAAGTCTGTCCATCAATACAAGCAAAATTAGTATTTTTAAACTTTGGTGAGTATTTGCAACCAATTTTTATTTAACTGGGGAATATTTTGGCCAAACTGTGTGTAAACATTGATATTTATGTCAGTGTTTGTGTACTTTGGCATTCAGACATGTCAGGAGTTTTAAACGGTTTTTTTTCTTCTCATGGGCATACTTTTGTTATCTTTGGTAAGTGATTTGGTCAGTCTTAGTAAACTTAGGTATTTATGTAAGTGTTTTTAGCACTTTGAGCATTTAGTCTAGTCTTTGTAAACATTTGTGAGTGTCTTTGTTAAATTTTACAAGTATTTAGGCCTCTCTTTGTAAACTATTTATTTAGATTATTTACGTTTTAGTGAGTATTTTTTTAATTTTGAGTATCTAACCTGACCTGTTTAACCTTTTGTATTTAGACCAGTCATTTTGCCATTTGCGTTTTGTTTATTCAAGCTAAACTGCCATGTAAATTGTCATTATTTTGGATGCTACGTTATTTCTTGTTGATTTTTAAATTTAATACTTAAAGTCAGTTTCCATAATTTTCTGCTGCTTTATCTGTAGTGAAAGGACAAGCTTAGGGCATTTAGCCTCAAGGGAAATGTAGTATCCAAGGAGATTGTTACACTGCATTTTCCCCTGTGAAATATTCAGCATGCTCAGAACAACTCTTAGACACATTCAGTCAAGCACACTTTTGTATTCGAGATATAATAACTGCACACTGTAGCATCTGAAAATTAGTAAAGAAACTTTTCGGATGCTCACCTTTGTAACAATGTAAAAGTTTTTACAGTCACTTTTGATCAATATAATGACCAACAATCTCTACTTTGTCCTTAAGAACTGATGCCTTAGCACCTGTTTTGCAATATAATGTCTTTTAGTTAAAGTGATGTCCATCACAGAACAGAATCTGCTGGACCTTGTGACATTTAATAAGACATTTTGAAACATTTACGTTTGATGTACAGTTGCAGTTTGCATCCATCGTCAGCCTTTTGCTGAAACGACCAAACAAAGCCATCATTCATCCATCAGTCCAGATAAATGCCCACTCTGTTTGCTGCTGAGGTCCTGTCTCATTTCAACAGCGTCTCACACACGCCTCTCAGTTTTATCAGATAATTCCTATGTTGTCACATCATAGTTTCATTTCTCTGATATTAGGCATGTTCTGTGGTGTTTTGGGCTGATGTTAGCATCAGCATTGTCAGCAGTGTCACACTTTTTTCTTTCAGCTGATGTGTTTCACCACACTATATTGTGCTTCGGTTTGCAGTCTGAGCTAATAATGGACAAAATGTGTGTAAAAGTGTGACTGTAAGCATCCACATGTCTGCTTTACTCAGAGAGAAATCTGTGACTAAGGTCTGTGAACTTAGTCAAGTCATCAGTCTCCTGAGAAAGCTTGTGGCACACTTTCGGTTCTTAAATTGCAAACGTAATGTTAGTCAGATATATATTTTTTTTTTTGCAGCAAAAACAGTCATAATTTAAATTTGCATGACTGTTTTAAATTCTCAGACCAGACACAGCAGTTTGAAGAATTTACCAGCATGATAACTTTATTTGTAATTTAAATGTTCTGTATTATTATAAACACTTTTATTATTTCATAAAAATGTACCTTTATTGAAGATAATGTAAAGTTAAATCTAATCAGGAGCTGACTGAACTGTACTTTACAGAACAGCTTTACACTTTTTAGCATTGTACAGAATGACATGTACTTTGTGTGAAAATGAGAATTGATAATTACAGTAGAATTTAGCACATTTTTAACTGTATCTTTTATGACCTCTGTATGTACCTACTGATAAAAGGTTTGGTGTCTGTAAGATTTTTTAAAAATCTTTTGGAAAGAAGTCTCTTCTGCTCACCAAGGCTGCATTTATTTGACAAAAAAACCCACAAACAAACAGTAATATTGTGAAAATATCTTATTGTAATATGTGACCCTGGAGCACAAAACCAGTCATAAGTAACACAGGTATATTTGTAGCAATAGCCAACAATACCTTGTATGGGTCAAAATTATAAATTTTTCTTTTATGCCAAAAATCATTAGGATATTAAGTAAAGATCATGTTCCATGAAGATATTTTGTACATTTCCTACCGTAAATATATCAAAACTTCATTTTTGATTAGTAATATGCATGGCTAAGAACTTCATTTGGACAACTTTAAAGGCGATATTTTTTTTCTCAATATTTTGATTTTTTTTTTTGCACCCTCAGATTCCAGATTTTCATAGTATGAAATAGTATAATAGTTGTATCTCAGCCAAATATTGTCCTATCCTAACAAACCACACATTAATGCAAAGATTATTTATTCAGCTTTCAGATGATGTATAAATCTCAATTTCAAAAAAATTGACCATTATGACTGGTTTTGTGGTCCAGGGTCACACATTGTAAAATGTAATTTATTTCTGTGAGCTGAATTTTCAGCATTCATTACTCCAGACTTCAGAGTCACATGATCCTTCAGAAATCATTCTAATATGTTGATTTGCTGCTCAAGAGCATTTATTATTATCAATGATAATAACACTTGTCAAACAAACGTGCTGCTTTATATTTTTGTGGGAACAGTGATAAATTTTTTCTGGATTCTTTGAATAGAAAGTTGAAAAGAATGACATTAATTTTAAATAGAAATCTATTGTAACCTTATAAATGTCTTTACTGTCACGTTTGATCAATTTATTGCATCCTTGCTGATTAAAAGTATTAATTTAAAAAAATTACCATTTCATAATCAAAATACAATAACTTTATCAGCAAGGAT